CTTTCAGCTCACTCTTTTTCTCTCACATTAAGGCCAAAAACAAGTAATAGGCTCATCAACAAAACCAGACATATGTCCGACCTTGCGTAATCGTAGTGAAGGTAGAAAGGGGGAGATAGTGGTCATCAAACCTTGATGGCCGAGAACAGACTTTATTTTACTGCCATAATTACCTTGAGCCATAACTGCGGGTTTCGTGCGTAAGCGAACACAAACAGACACGTATACCTACAGAGACACTCCCAGTCTTCGAGGCTAACATATGACCGTAACTAACCAAATCTCCTTATATCGGTAAGTTTTCTCGACTCGTTAGCTCGAATTTGGTTGTGACAATGATACCTTGCTCTGATGATGTTCGTGATATGACGGACGAAAGCTCAGCACCTTTTCACCAGAATAGGAGATTACCTGGGAAACAGCGTCACCACCAATGCTCCAATAAGGCCAATCGACATCTGGTCAGAAGGAATCCGACATCGTCTTCTGGTGAAATCGACTTTTGAATCTCTTCACTAAACAATTTCACTCGAAATTGATGTAAGCTTAACAATTATGAAACCCAACTTATCTTCTCAGAACAATACAAAGCAAGATGGACCAAATTGGCCATGTAAATAGATAGTATTTAATATAAGAGTCTATTTTCTATCCATTTTAGAGAACGAGTATTTGAAGACATTTTAGGTTTGTTTCGAAAGACCTTGTAGGTCATAAAACATATTTGGACCAGATAATCATGTAAAAATTTAATAAATGGAGAGTACAACGAAGTGTAAATTAATAATTATTCGGAACATTACATTCGAATAGAGAAATAGAAAGAAGCAAAGGGTCAGCTGAAAATCAATCTGCCAACACAAGATAGATTGAAATCATATAACAGGTAAAAATAAGTAAGAATCTAACATCGTCTTCATTTGACAATCCTGACTAAGTAGATCACACTCGCCAAAAGTTTTAAATATTTTGAGAACAAAATACAAATGTACCTGTTAAATAGATAAAAAAGAGGAAAGTTATGCCTTTTAATGGAGAAATATTACTTTGAGAGAAAATTTATATTATCTTAATAGTTTAGATGCACCTAATTTGAGCGATGTGGTATGTGATTCAACCTCAATTAAGATGACAAGTGCGATGCCTATTATTTTCTTTTTCTGAATAATGGCCAAAATTAGACCCTTATAGCATAAAGCCTGGAAAGGGGAATTCCAAAAATATTGAGCGAATTTACCCTCTTAGATGCGTAACCATGAGCAAATATATTCAATACTCACTCAATAAAAGTTAGAGCTAATTTATTATCTAAGATAGACGCATTGTCATGTCTGAAGTACGACAGTCAGAAAAGTGCAAATTAATGGTTTACGAATACTCGAATCAGAAGTTTTAAAGGAAAAACACGAAACAACAATATAATAGTAAAGACGAGTATTTATATGTAACAGTCCGGTCGAAATGCGTTAATAATGTAAGCTATTTGGATAAAGTACACAGCTAGATGTGCGACCGATTGATCCCGAATTGTGAAGGAGCTAGCTTGACTTTGTTGATAACGGTTGGGGAAGGAGTAGAAACTCGTTGTGCGGAGCTCAAAGCTGAGAGTTGATTTGGTGCAAAGCCGGGCTAAACGCATTCTCCAGAGTAATCACACTGCCAGCCGCATTGATTTGACTGGGGCTAGCTGAGGTAGGAGTCGAAGCTGAAGTAAAAGAACTAACGCTAAGTGGGATCAGTGGAGCCGAAGAACAATTCCTATGACCAAATGCTAACGAAGGGTTGATGGTAAATGGAAGGTCGTTGACATAGGATCGTCTAGAATTTGGATTAGAGGAGATTATAGGCTTGGCGACCTTCGGTTGATTGGCTATAGGAGTAACTACGAGACCACCATTAGATAACATTTGTAATGTGGCCTGGGCCGAATCAGCTGTTTCGCGTAAATGGAGGCGTGTTGCAGTAACATGCTTTTCACCTGAATCAGAATAAAAAAAAAGAATAGCTAGAATAGAAGTAAAAAAAGAACAAAGTAAGCAAACTAATTATACATAAAACTATATAAACAAAATAGTTATTAATCTATGAAAAAAATTTAATGTAAACCAGCTTATTATGTGAAAGTAAAAAGGTCGTTAATGCCTTAGACATGGGCGCACAAAATCATAAGGAAAGATGTTAAAATTAAACATTATACAATTATAGAAACATCCAACGGAGATAGCGACAAAGAGAGCCTTACAATCATCTACGGCCAACCTAATAGTATTAGCCAAATCAGCATAGCGTTTCTGCGAATGACGAAGTCGATTTATGAGACGTTGTCGTTCTCGAGGCCATTCACGCTTGATAGAATTGCCAATAATTGAAGAGTTGCAACGAGAATTAAATCTAGAATCGGGGCCTGCAGAATTAGAGGCAACTTGAGCATCACATAAGTCCGGATCGCGAAATGATGAATAAGCCGGCAAATTTTGGGTTGAAGGAGAGGGGGAGGATAATGACTCGTCAACAGAAATTTGGGTGAAGGTGCGAAACAGAGCAAGGCGTTGATAAAGGCGAAGCTTCAGATCAAGAAGACTGGAAATAGCTTTTTCGGCAACCTGACCGACAAAGATAGGAAATAAACTCTTGCTAAATAATAGATCAAGAAAATTAAT